TATATATACAGTGCTCTGTCTCATGCCTGCTCTGAGCAGCACGTTATAGCACCTTGTCAATCTATTTCAATGAAAGGTGCTTTATAAAACTTTACTTATTTACTTACTTACTAATATGGGCTCAGAACAAATTATTCAATATCAATGGCTCTCATGGAATTAATAAAGAATTGATATATCAACTGCTGTCGATCAAAAACTTATGTTAGTGTTTTTGTTTATTTAAACAAGGCTTCCAACACGTTTGACCATTCCCTATTGAAAAGTTGAATGAATGTGGCAGAGGATTAGCACTACAGTGGGTATCTAGTTTGAAAAATAGGAAACAGTTTGTTCAACTAAATAATGCAAGATCTGAATTATGCAATATCGCTTGTGGAGTTCTTCAGGGTTCTGTGTTTGGACCAAAACTGTTTATTTTACAAGTGAATGATTTGGTCATTGCTAAAGCTTTTTAAATTGTATTCCGTTTGCTGATGACATAACACTTTTTCATTCTGGTGACAATACTGGACAGATGTGGGAGGTGATACAGACAGAGTTTAGGAAGGTACAAACGTGGTTTCAGCTGAATAAATTATCATTGAATTGAATTGAATTATATGATATTTGGTAACAGAAAGAAAATTATCAAAGTTCCATTCCGTATTGATAAAAGAGAAACTTGTAGAGTTTGTGAAATAAAAATTTTAGGTTGTCATCATTGACGAAAACTTGACATGGAAATTTCATAATAAACTGCATTGCTGTTTAAAGTAAACAAGTTATTAAATGATAAAGCTTTGTTTATATTGTACAATGCAATGATTGTTTAAAATATTACTAAATTAAATTGATTAAGAAAGCATGATGATGTGTTTAGTGAAGCTATCATATGATTCCTTATGTTGTTTTGTTCTGCTTTTAAATTGTTAAATTGAGATTGTTCACATTAAGTTGTTTGTTTTAAGTAGTTTTTATTTAATAAGGGTCAGACATAAGATTTCTTCCTCTTTCGGCACCATTTTATATAATAATTGATTTACGTTGTTTTCTTTTTGTTTTCCTAATGGCTCTTTGTTAATTTTAAGAATGAAATAAATTAATAAACAAGGCTAAAAACTGTACTATGAGACAAAGCCTTGACAGGGAGGGACCTCTTCTGCCTTCCATTAAAGACGGCAGCTATAGAAATAGCAAATTGTGTGTTTCTGTGCATGACACAGGGGGAGAGAGAGAGAGAGAGAGAGAGAGAGAGAGAGAGAGAGAGAGAGAGAGAGAGAGAGAGAGAGAGAGAGAGA